CCTAGTTGGACTAAGTAGGTCTAACGAATCAAGATTTTGATAATACACATGTCGAGTCTTACCTAATTAGACAAAGTGAAATTCAAACTTAAATGCACAAGGGAGCTAATAAGCCAAGTTCATATCATATTCAAATAAAACTCAAAGAGGAATACAATCAAAGTTTTGAAAATGAAGGAATGAGAGATAGGAGGGTGAAAACCCTAAAATGAATTACAATTTTCTCATAATGTAAAGTGTTTCTAAAATGAAAATTTTAGAATTCTTTGAACATCATATGAAAATATACATTAATACAAGAATTTGGCAAAAAGAATCATTTAAAAATGAAGAAGTTATGTTAATTTGAAAATTAAATAAAAAATAAATGAACAACTGGTTAAAATAAAGAAAATGCTTCACCCAAGGCTTGAACTCAAGACCTTGGGGTCACAGACACAAAACACCACCAACTCCACCATTTCAAGGTTGCAAAATTTAATGGACAAAGATATTATAATATCAAAAAGCATGAAAACCCATAAAATGTGCAAAAAATGCCCTCGCAGAGGGTCGAACACAGGATCACATGGCATGCCAAGTTCTTAAAGGCAAGGCAATAACCACAGGGGTGGCGATACATCCATTGTATCAAGCCACCCCAGTTGAATATATACCTAAGAAGGCGTAATTCCTGGGCCAAATGATGAAAATCATGAAAACGATTTAATTCAAACTTCCTCAAAACTTAACCAATTTTCACAAAATTAAAGTCAAACATGCTTGTTTTTTAAAGAGGATCATGATGTTGTCAATCAAATTTTCAAATAGTGCACACACATAAAAAATCGAATGCTCATGCAATAAAGATTGCGACAACAAAAATGGGAATCAATTGATAATTGAAGTTTACGCACATAATAATCATCAAATAGAATAGACGCAATTCCAAATAGTTACCAGCATGGATAACAACAATTCATAGAAGCATACCATTCAAACAATATTTTTTCCATTTCATGAAGCTACAAATGAAACAGAATATAAACCGCAAACAAAGTTTGCAACTCAGTAACGTATCAAAACAGAAACAAATATCCTTATACGAAAGCGGAACAAAATCAAACAACAACAATGCATGAACTGCCGAGTACAGTCAGTGGACATAACAAAAATAACAGCAAGAGGTAATTGAATCGAAATCATCTTGGTGACAGCAATAATCATAAATTAAAGCCAATAAGTGGACACTTATCAATGAAAATCAAATTTCAAAAGTTTAAACTCAGCGACAACCATAACATCCATAATTGCCACAAGATACAACAACGAAATGCAATAAAATCGAATCAAAATTCACCTATAATACCGGCAGCATAGGATTTGTAATCAGCCCAAAACCGAAGCTGGCAACGGGCGCAGCAAAACAAATGCAAATTACATCATACAACGGTAGCATGGAATAACTGCAACGATGAAATTTGAATGCCGTTATGGCGATACCAATTATCAACAACACCTTATCATAGTGAAATTTAAACAGAACTCAACAGTGTCTTCATATTATTATAGCACCTAAACTGAAATAAATGCAACAAAACTGAGCCGAAAAAATCAATTACAACAACACTAATCAAACACTAATCGAGCAACGACGGTGTATCCTAACTCTCTTGATTTCATCCTCTCTCATGAATTTCAAATTCTCACATACAAACTCAAGAAAGCATGAATCATATTTCACACCAAAATTAGGAAAACGGTTTTCAAATGATCAAACATAGTCAATCAAACCAAATGTGAAGGTTGTTAACAGTAGGATTACAACATGTATTACTTCAATATTTAAAATGGCATGAACAATCTTCAATATTTGGAATAATACAACAAAATCTAATGCCATTGTTATGTATTTTAAAATTCAACCTAATGAGAAAAACAAGCCAAAAAACTCTAAAAACAGCCTAAGCCGCTCAAGTCATAGCATCACAGGAAATTAAAGGTTGTTGTAGTGAATTATTATTGTTAATGTTGTCGAGAACGTTAGAAGGTCTTCGAAACAGCATACGCTTCTCAAGGTTCAAATCGCCTAATTAGGATCTTGATGCTGCAACATACAACAACCAACAGCCATCCAATGCCCTGCCTTTGCGACAGCAACTACTGTGAACTAGCAACCAACACAATTTAGCTCTAAATCCTGGCAGCAACTAGCATGATAATGTTAAATCCTAAATGCACCATGTATTGCAACATCCCATATCAACATTTCACAAAAGCACACAAAACCTATACATATATGCCCTAATGACAAAGTCCAACTGTCATGAGTTGAACAAACTCGCACCTCAAAACCAATTGACCGCACAACTGTAACTTTGAATATTAAAATGTCCAGTTCACTCAAAGTAAACAACACCTACATGATGAGGCAGCTGCCATTTCACTAACATGCTTTTAGTATGATAAAAAAATAGGCTTTGGCAACAATGACCATAAGCTTGATAAAACAGCTGGCAATATGAACATGTTATACATTGGTAGGCTTGACATAAGTCAAAGTTCAAACAACAGTCTACAACAAACATGCTAAACCACACACATAAGTTACTGACAAAAGACAAGGTCTGTTCATATCAAAATGCAAAAAATCATGATGAGTTTTGATGGAACAACTCAGTTTCTCACTAGAAACACCTCATGGCTGTTGAACTGCAAATGATGATTTGTTTTCCTCTAAAAAACTTTGCACTTAGACCAACCTTTGGAAAGAAAGACTTCAAGAACCTGTTAGAAACTAATTGAGAGCTATCATAGGATACAACTAATTAAACATATAACTAAATCATCATGGTATCTGTAACTCGAAAAGGTTGTATCAACATCTTCAATATAATCTCACCAAGCATAACTACTTGAAAGATCATGAACAAAATATTCTTTCAAATAAAATTCTAATAAGCATAAGCTTAAATAGTACATATTCACACAACTTTGTGATACTAACTAAAACTGATATCCATAATCACGACAGTCTAACTTTCAAGTATTTGATTATCACATAAAAGCATAATCTAACTATGGTCGCATAGGCTGATGGCTGATGGGAAGCTCTGAATGTTGTTTAGAACACTCTGAATGTTGTTGTTCGGAAATCTCTAGATTAATATTGTTCTATCTTCAATCAAGATCTTTATGCAACTGCAAGAACCATATATAATTATAACAATATAATTATAACAATGAAACCATTAAATAACAACATTAAAGAAATTGCTTACAGAGTCATCACTAAATTCAATGTTGTGAAAATCTCCCTGTGACGAATGTGTCGTGTTAGCATGATGTCGAGGTATTGAACATGTTTGCTTATTATGCCCGAATTTTCTGCAAGTAGAACATTGAGTCCGCTTCCTTTTTTCTGACGTGTTGAAGATTCCCCAACACATCCTTTAGTTCTAGCTGGAGCAGGATCCTTCAATGTCTCATGGACAGTTTCACTTGAATTTGTGGCTCCACCATCATGTAAGCCCCCTTTTTTCTTCCATCTTTCATATATCAGCAGCAGCTTGTTTCATATGGTTATTGAAATCATCACCATTCTCACTTACTAATTTGCTCAAACGCATATATCGAAACATGAGTGCACAATATCTTGACGACTTGTATGAATCCCAATATTTTGGAAGATGCTTATTTGTGCTACATATTTCTTCCTTCACGTTCTTTGTCCATCGATCAGCCACTAGAGTCTTTGGCAATTCTGCGACATCTAAAAAAATCAATAGTGCAATAATATGCTCACACGGGAGGCCAAATGATTCCATCTTCTTGCAAGAACATTTAAACATGTCATCATTATGATAGAATGATATGTTCCACTCCCTTTTTTATGCTTGATACTTGCAAATTGTGTATATAAAGCATGTATAGGTTTGATTGCATGTTGCCACTACCATCTCTGCAGACCGTGCAAGAATATCACGAAACATAAAGAATATTTCCCTTGTAAATAACTTCCAAGCGCAACGCTCCATGCTCTGAAATCTTGTTTGTAGCACAGGATCACCGTAATTTGATGCAAAGTCAGCTTCGACCTCCTTATAGCGCATGTAATTAAGGCACTGATGAAAATGTAATAAAAGTTCAGTTAAATTATATCGTGAGTGAAGAAACTTCCCCATTTCTGACTGTAACCCCTCACACTGGGAGGTAGTTCTGAACCCAGCAAAAAAATTTCCGCGTATATGAGTTGTAACCCACATTTTTCTCTTTACGTATAGTTCAGTTACCCACTTGTTGTCATGCAACCCAAATGTGTAAATCATGTCATCCCACTTGCGCTGAAACTCGCATAAGTCATAGTCACCCAACATGCATTTCCTAAACTGAATAATAAATTCAGGAACTCCAATGTTAGACATTGCATTGCGAAGTAGATGCCAAGCACACAACCTATGATAAATATTCAGAAACACCCTTTGTATTGCTTTCTTCATTGCAAGATCGCCATCAGTAATGACAGATATAGGCGACTTACCTGACATTGCTTCTAAAATTTGTTCAAGAACCCACACATATGTTTCTTCTTTTTCATTTGCAACAATAGCACCACCAAATATAATATTATGATTATGGTTATTAACTCCAGAAAATATCACTAAGGGGCAATGATATTTGTTCGTCCCGTATGTGGCATCAAATGCCAACACATCACCAAAAACTTTGAAATCCATTTGGCTTATACCATCGCATTAAAAAAGATGTTCAAGCCTACCTTCTCCATCAACAGTGTGGCGATAAAACATCATCGGGTCATCTAATGCCAGCCCACGAAGATAGTGTAAAGCATTTTTACCATCACATTGTTGCAAAAGGCATTGCTTTCCTATTTGATTATATATATCCTTCCTACGAAACCCTATTTTTTCATACCCTCCTGATTGGTTGGCAAAAGAACCATAGAATTGAGACGGCCTTATACCAACCTTCAACATGTCGTTCATCTGCATTATATTTGACTATTTCATTTTTCGATGTGAAGCAAGCATTCCATGGTACTCTTCATCTAAAAGATCATGATTGTGTTGATCATTAAAAACTGTTATCCACCAACATTGTGAGACCATGTCTATATGCACTCGAAGTTTTGCTTCACATCCACACCGAGTCTCAGGTTTACACTCACGCTTACGATTTTCTATTGTTAAACCTCTATCCTCCCTAAACCCCTGTCTGTGACAAACAAATGTCTGCTGTAATATTTCTCCTTTCTTGCTTTGAAGGATCTTACTCTTGCGAACTGCAAACCCGTTCACTTTAGCATACTGGTTGTAAAACTCATAAGCCATGTCTAGACTTGGAAACTGAAATTTCCTTGTCTCATGGGGACTTAATCTTTTCAGGTCCATGCCAAGAATATCCTCCATGCTATCAATATTTATAATTTTTTCAATAGATTCTTCAACCTCAGCACGAATGTCATCAACAACAGTGGTCTCGCATGTTTCTTCATCAACTACTCCAGTTGACAAGTCTTCTAGTCCTTATCACAATAAACAACATAGTTTTAACATAACTGCCAAAGTACAATAATACTAGTATTTAAAAATTTCTCCTTTTACCTCCATACCGCCTACAACTATTCGACTAATAGTGTCACTGCTCTTTCTCTATTTCCTGCATGAATTATCATAACCAGTGAAATTCAACACAATCAAAATCAAATATCAACATCAAAAATATAAAAACATTATAATTATTACAATTCACGGATAGAAAAACGCATTCAATTCATATGAATATGAACCGAAAAGAGAGCCAACAATCAAAATTAAAAGAGAATAATAATAATTATTATAGAACTAGAAACTTTACCGGAAAATTTTCTTGGTTTTGATTGGAATGAATTTCAGCCTTAAAATCCTCTCCGACGACCTCGCCGGCCAACCGTCTTGTTGAAACCTTGTTTTTGGTAGAAAACCGTATGTTGTGTTGTAGGTTGTAGCTTTTGGGACAAAGGTTTTTTTTAATTACTATGAAAAATAATGAAGATGATGAAGTTGTAAACAAATTGTTACGAGGACTCGCATTAAAGAAAATGGAAGGAGAAATGGTTAAAATAGTGAAAATCATGAAAAATCACAAAAATGTCGCGGGCTTACAAGGCATGGCAAGTTTTTGAAGGCAAGGCAATAACCACTGGGATGACGATACATCCATTATATCAAGCCACCCCATTTAAATATATCCCTAAAAGGCGTATTTTCTGGGCATTTGAGCTGGGCAATTCAAAGCAAAACTCCAAAACGATTTCAATCCAATCTCACAAATTCTTCACCAAATTCAACAAAATAAAAGTGAAACACACATGAATTTTGATAAGGAATGCAATGGTACCAACCATTTTTCTAAATATTGCCCACACAATAAAATTCAAATGGTAATGCAAGTATGAGCCTTTGAGATGCATTTTGAAACTCAAAGATCAAAACATGTGTATTTAGAGCAAGAGACTGGTATGAGCAAGTTTCAAGTATAGTATGTGATGAGTTCCAACCGAATATTTGATCAAAAAACACTAGAATGAGAAATTAGCATATGAGTTGTAATTTGATGAGATTGGTGTTTTAAGAAAAAAACTTTGCAAATCAACAATAACAATAACTTCATGACAGGTTTTTTTTATTTACACAAACAAAAGCAATGGTAACAGACTTTGACAACCATATAGCCAAGACAAAACTGATCATTAAATGCTTCAACAACATTTCAATAGAAATAACTAAAAACAGCATTGTAACATGGCTGAACATTGTTTGTAGCTTGGAATTGACAAATTTCAACTCAGAAATGGCTTCACAGAACCAAAACATATTTAAAGTCAAGTTTCAAAACAACTTTTCCAACATGTGGGAACTGAAAACAATAGCCATTTAAAAATTACATGACAATGCTAATTGGTTTATGTCAAACTAAACTCAAACACTAATCACTCATTGCTACCAACATATTAAGGTAAACCAACTCAGAATAAAACAGCAAGTAAAGAGTTGTCAAACTCAATCCCAAATCTTGACATGAACCTCAATAGAACAAAGTTCTATGACAATAGGCAGTTTGAAGCATAACTGCATTGCTCTTAGTATAACCATACCGTCAATCCAAAAATAGCATATCTTGTGCAAAAATAATAATAGTCACAACATTTCAAGTTTCTCATTCTAATGCTCCATTGCATAAATGGCCCCTACATTTCAAGTTGATGACTTGAGAGACAGTGTGTGGAGGCAAATCGCCACATATCACACAAATCTTCAAGACATTGGTAAATGCAGGTTTCGATGATGACAAATTCCCAGGATAGACTGGAAAGTATGAGTTCCAGATCTACTAAACCAGATGCAACATATCACCCATCATATTCTCCTTTTGCTTGTCTTAAATTTTCTAAAATAAATATACTTTGAGTTGACAAAATGCAATCATGACTAAAGGCATGAAAAACTTCAAACTAAATTTTGCAGGCTTGCAGGACATGGGTCGACCATAGGGTCGGCGTATCCATCAAAAAAAAAAGAGGGGGGGGGGGAATCAGTCAGCGCACAAAGCATGCGTCGACCATAGGGTCAGCGCATGAAGGAATGATATTCCAGCGGGTCAACGCATAAAAGCATTGGTCAACCATAGGGTCGGCGCACAAAGGAAAAGAATTTCAACAGGTCAGCGCACGCCGACTGTATGGTTGACGCACACTGATGAAATTTCCAGAAATTCAAAACATCACAGGCCATGCGTCGACGCACAGACCTGTTATGGTCGACCGTTTGCGCGGAAAAACTGTTTTAAATTTGTTCCCTCTCATATTTGAAATACTGTTATGTCCTGAATTTTGTGGGCACTATATATACTTGCTTAAACACTTGTGTCTAACAACATTTGATATTCTTTTGATTCATGTGTTCAAAAACAAGAAAGAGTGAAATAGGTGTCCAAGATTCATCATCTTCATCTCACAACATTTCAATTACACACAATCATTTTTGAAATGCATTTGTGAGAGATTCAAGGTGATAAGGTTCGAGGCTTAGATTGGAGAATCAAGCTCGGGTTGAAGATTGCGACATGTTCTTTCTTGAATAAAACCATTGGGGTTTTGCCCTCCAAGATTGGTTTGAATTTTGGGGGTTTTTGGACGAGATTCTTCATCAACGATCAATCGAGTGAAGGTGATTGTGAAGAGGTGGTCTTCACAAGTCTAGTAGCGGATTCGGTGATTTTGAAGGGAAGATCTCGGGTTCGATTTGGTGCTGTTGAGATCAGCCGGAACCAAAGGTTTGAACAACAACGTGTTCTTCAATAAGGTGGCTGGAGTCGGAGGTCCATCAACACAAATCGAAGAACTTGATTCAGCTTGAATCAAGGGGCAAGGAGTGAAGGCAACTTTCAACACATTGAGATTTTTGTTGTATATTTGCTGCTCAATCCTTGTATAAACTGTTCATTCAAACAGGTGATATCTATACAATATATCTCAATTCTAGTTTTAGAATTGAGGGCAGACGTACCTCGAAGCGGGGACGACGGGGGAACTGCCTAACCAAATTACCTGTCTTCTCTATTTTCAGCATTTACGTTTCAGCTCAAATAAGTAATTTTTGTGTAAGCTCTATTGTCAAAATTGTGATATCAATTGAGTAAGAGGTTAAAACTTTGTTTTTAACTCTAAAGTACAAAAATACATTGTACTAGGCTGATTGAAATCACTTACTCAACATAAACATCACTTGGAGTGTTTTTGCACACCAAGTGTTTGACATATTGCTTGAACCAAAATTACCTTACTTGTGTATCTAGTTTTGGTTTGATTTTGGATCATTGGAACTAGGAATCCGTACAACTGAAGTAAATAATTGATAAGTGCAGTTTGTGTTGTGATTCTATTTTTCCGAATTGTCATTAATCCATAGGCTTACGTATATCCGATTTTCCAATAACCGTTCGTTTTAGACTATATTTTTCCTCGGCCGCTTCCGCACTTAAAACATTTTTAAAACCAATTTTAAATTGGTAGCGCCGACTCAAATTTTAATTGGGGATCTATTCAACCCCCCCCCCCTTTTAGATCCGTGCCATAGTCTAACAAGTGGTATCAGAGCCTGGTTATTCGGTGCTTCAAATACAACGAGATAGAAAATGGCAAATGAACCTAAAGGGGCGTACAATAGGGCTCCTGTTTTCAACGGTGAAAATTATAGTTATTGGAAAGACTGTATGCGTGTGCATATAAACTCCATACACAGAAAAATATGGAACGTTATCCTCAATGGTCCAATAGAAATTACTATGACCAATACAGAAAATGTAGTTGTGCCAAAGCCTGAAGCACAATGGATCGATGACGATGAGAAAAAATACAATTATGATTGGAAAGCTAAAAACATCTTAATGTCCTCATTAGGTGTAGATGAATACTATCGTGTATCCCATTGTCCTACTGCTAAGGCCATGTGGGATTCACTACAAATAGCCCATGAGGGGACAAACGATGTTAAGTTGGCTAGAATCAATACATTAACTCAAGAGTTCGATCTCTTTTTCATGGAGCAAGGGGAAACCATTGCTGACATGCAAAAGAGATTTACTCATCTCATCAATCATTTACATTCATTAGGTAGGCCTGTTTCCAATGATATTGCTACTAATAAGATCTTAAGATGTCTTAACAGGGAATGGCAGCCTAAAGTGACCGCCATCAAAGAAGCTCATGATCTTACCTTATTAGATTTAACAACATTGTTTGGCAAATTACAAGAGCATGAACAGGTACTCTTGAGCTTAGACCAACGTGAAAAGATGGAAAAGAAAGACAAAACGAAGGTGAGTGAAAAGAAATCGATAGCTCTCAAGACTTCCTCCTCGAAGTCTCAAGCAAAAGAGCAACATGATTATTCCTCGAGCGACGAAGAAGAAGAGGACACAAACGAAGATATGGGGTTGTTTGTTAAACGGTATAACCGTTACGTGAGAAAGAACGACATCCAACATTCCGAGAAAAACTTGGTAAACTTCCGGAAATAATCGAGACACTCCAAGGATGATGACTCGAAAGGTAAAAAGACTAGAGGGACGTGCTACAAGTGTGGAAAGCTCGGTCACTACAAACCGGACTGTCCAATGAATAAAAAAGGAAAGGACAAGGAATCATCAAAATCACACAAGAAAGCATCAAAGCCTAGGAGAGCGTACATAGCATGGGAAAGTGACAGCGACTCTTCCTCCTCTGATGAAAGCTCTAGTGATGAAGAAGATTCCGTGAATCTATGCCTCTCCGCCAATCAGAAAAATAAGAAAAAACAGGTACGTCACTCTAAATATGATAAGTCCTCAAATATGTCGCATTCAGAATTAC